CCAGAAGACTGGAAAAGGGCAAATATAGTGCCCATCTCTAAAAAGGGAAATAAGAACAACCTAGGAAACTATAGACCAGTCAGTTTGACTTCTGTGCCAGGGAAGGTAATGGAGCAAATAATTAAGGAATTCATCTGAAAACACCTGGAAGATAATGAGGTGTAGGTAACTGTTTGTAAAGAACAAATCATGTCAAACTAATCTGATAGCTTTCTTTGAGAGGATAACGAGTCTTGTGGATTAGGGAGATGCGGTGGACTTTGTATACCTAGACTTTAGTAAGGGATTTGAAAGTCTTGCTAAATTATCCAATAAGCATAAGCTTATTGGATAGTCAATTAGTGATGTGATTAGTTACTCCCTGGCCCCCCACTGCCTTTATCAGAAAAAGGCAGCAAAGGGGGGAATAGGTGGGGGTACTTCAAAGTGTCAGTGCCACTTGGAGCCCAGGGTCAGACCCCGGGCTCCATGTAATGCTGCTACTTTGAAACGCTGTGTGCAGCCCGAGGCCAGCCGGGGTGTCCCAGGATGCATGTGGCGTTTCAAAGTGGCATCACCACATGGAGCCCAGGATCAGCTGGGGACTCCACTGCTGACCCTGGGTTTCGTGCAGCACTGCCACTTTGAAATGCTGCGAGGAGCTTGATGTGATGTGATTGTGATGTGATGCTTTCGTCTTTGAAGTGTAACAACAGCCCTGGGTCTGTTGCTACACTTCAAAGGCAGAGGCGCCCTATCGACTAATTGAATAGTCAATGCAAAATGCATCCACTATTCGATTAGTCAGTAAGTTGATATTTAATATCCTTAGTTATTAATGGTCCACAATCATGCTGGAAGGACATAACAAGTGGGATTCTGCAGGAGTCTGTTTTGGGACTGGTTCTGTTTAATATCTTCATCAGTGATTTAGATGTTGGCATAGAGAGTATGATTATTAACTTTGCAGATGATACGAAGCTGGGAGGGGTTCCAAGTGCTTTGGAGGATAAGGGCAAAATTCAAAATGATCTGGACAAACTAGAGAAATGGTCTGAGGTAAACAGAATTAAGTTTAATAAGGACAAATGTAAAATACTCCACTTAGGGAGGAACTATCAGTTTCACACATACAGAATGAGAAGTGATTGTCTAGGAAGGAGTTGAAAGGGATTAGTGGTAAGAGTGGACCATAAGTTAAACATGAGTAAACAGTGTGTCACTGTTGGGAAAAAAGAAAAAGCAAACATGATTCTGGGATGCATTAATAGGAGTGTGGTGAACAAGACATGAGACTACTCTGCACTGATTAGGCATCAATTGGAGAGTTGTGTCCAGTTCTGGGCTTCACATTTCAAGAAAGATGTGGAGAAATTGGAGAAGGTCCAGAGAGGGGCAACAAAAATTATTAAAGTTTTAGAAAACATGACTTATGAGGGAAGGCTGAAAGACTTGGGCTTGTTTAGTTTAGAAAATAGAAGACTGAGAGGGGACATGATAGCGGTTTTCAAGTATTTAAAAGAGTGCTACAAGGAAGAGGTAGATAAATTGTTCTCCTTGGCCTCTGAGGATAGGACAAGAAGCAATGGGTTTAAATTGCAGCAAGGGAGGTTTAGGTTGGACATTAGGGAAAAACTTCCTAACTGTCAGAGTGGTGAAACTTAGGGGGTTGCGGAATCCCCATCTGTGGTGGTGCGTCGGGGTTCCCCCCACCTCCTGCACCCCCGTAATGGCATGAACAGACTCCACCAGCCGGTAGATTAGAGGGAGTTTATTGCTTTTCCAGGATACAGCACAGCATAGATGCAATCCGGTTACAGGGCCAGGCCTAGGATGGGGGAGACTGGGCCCTTAAATCCCAGGCCCCTTGCTTAGGCTGCCTCCTCCATGATTCCAGGCAGAAACTAAAACGTCCCTTCCAGCCCTGCCCCCCAGCCAGGGGCTGGCCTCGCCCTCTTTCCTTTGTCTCTCTCCCTGGGAGCCTACTGGTCGGACAGGTTGGGAGCCCCTCCATGCTACAAACAGCCGCCAGTGGAGGTCACCCCCAGCCCACTGCTCAAGGTCAACCACAGCCCACTGCCCAGCATAGCAACCAGCAAGGTACCAACACTACATCACACCATCACTGAAGATATTTAAAAGCAAGTTAGATAGATTCTTGTCAGGTATGATCTAGACAGTGCTTGGTCCTGCCATACGGGCAAGGGACTGGACTTGATGACCTCTTGAGGTCCCTTCCAGTTCTAGGATTCAGTGATTCTATGATTGATGTTTGGTTCCCTTTTGTAGTGGAGTGCTGACTCTGGATAAAGAGGAACACTAGTCTGGAGTTTAAGCCTTGTGCTGGCTTCAGAAGGTCTATGACAGTGAGTGACCCTCATTCCATCTACCTAAAATTTCTAAACAAACATCATATTAGGGATGCTGCCAAATTTTCAGGGACTGTAAGCTGTGAAAGGGGAAAGAGGTGAGACTGAACCACATCCGTAGTGAGGCTACCCATATGAGCCTTCCTGCTTGGGAGAACACCAACTGCTTCAGTGCGGAGTGCTCCTCTGGACATGGTGTTGGAAAACTGGCACTGATCTCCTTCCCCAGTGCTGAGGAAGAAGGCTAAGAGGTAGGATTCCTTGGACTTGGGTGTGCTAAATGATCGAGATCCTTGTTGCTATACACTGGGAGGACAGGGGAAGGTGTCTGCTGGCAAAAGATGCTCACTGATACCAACCACATCCGGGGTTGTTAACTGTAATGCAAGTTCCAAGGCCACTTAGATTGACGCACCTCATGATTCCAACTCTTTCTGTGAAACATGAAAGGACCTTGGTATCAACAATACTGGAGGCATATGTGGCAGCACATGACGTACTCTCACTTTAGGTGTGGACTCTGAAGCTTACCGGAGACAGCTCACTTTGTGCCATTGTATCCTGAGGACTTGGCTACAAACTTGTCTGAGGCTAGTGGTTTTGTTACTGTGGGTGGATAAAGCAACATACTGTCTGATGTTTCTCGACCAGTGCCATCTAGAAGGGGTAAAACTACCCTGATATCCCTCAAATTGGTATGTACAGAGCACCAACCACACTTTAATCTTGGTATTGCCTGGTGTGACATCACCATGGTTAGCTGACTCAGTATCCTCCGCAGAGCCTGAGGCAGTCTCGTATCCTTTTGGCTCCTCAAACAGACAATGGCACTCTCCTTTTCCTTCATTAAAATAATTTTGTTGGCGATGTCCACCAGAGCTACATAGACGCTCCAGAGAAAGAGAACATTAAATCAGTCGTAGCTGGAGTCATATGCCATGTCCTCATGGCTCTAATTAATTCTGCTTCCAAATCCTCCCCAGTTCCTGTATTTTTAAAATCCGCTACCGAGTGTCGTGAGGAGGTCCAGGAGGATGCAGTCACTGAGCAAAACTCTCAAACTTTGCAACATCTACCCACTCTACTGCAGGATAATCAGTCTCAGCCTCCTTTGTATTTGGCCTTGTAATTGCCTGATGAGACTGTAGCACCACAAGAGCCTTCACTGGTCCAAGATAACTACAGGGCTTACTAAGACATTTTCATACAAGCAGGAAACTATCATAATACTCTTTTTGAGGTGGTTCAGGAGAGTTTGGTTAGTCTCAGAAACACTCTGGCTGTGTCTAGACTGCATCCCTTTTCCATAAAAGGGATGCAAATTAGACACATCGCAATTGCAAATGAAGCCGGGATTTAAATCCCCCCCGCTTCATTTGCATAAACATGGCTGCCGCTTTTTTCCGGCTCAGAGCTTTGAAAATCTGGCCCAGCCATGTTTATGCAAATGAAGCGGGGGGGATTTAAATCCCGGCTTCATTTGCAATTGCGATGTGTCTAATTTGCATCCCTTTTATGGAAAAGGGATGCAGTCTAGACACAGCCTCTCTGTTTTCAACAGGGCCAGCTAAAGTGTCTGTCCGTATCAAGGAGAACTTCCTGGAGTCTGGAAGATCCTTGTTGCAAATGTTATCTTCTCTTCAAGAGAACCAAGAGAAAATAGCACACGCCTTTTCAAAGCTATGAGCATATTTATACCCATTCATCACCAAGTTTCTTGGTTGTATGAGCAGAAGTGAAAGAGCACGTATGGGATGGTCTTCTTTTACCTCAAGGACAAGTATGTAAAGAGACTAGACCTTAGATTTACTGCACAACTGGCCTACAATTTCATATCTGTAATCAGCAAGCATTGCTGGCTAGGTATGACTTCTACCTTTGGGACAATGTAGTTTTCAGAGATGTTGCAAGAGGATGCCAGGCTGGAGTTTGAGGCCCTCTTAGCAGAGGGCAAACTGTTGGTTAGGACCTTTTTCCAAGCTTTTTTAGATGGGGACAGATTAAGCAGCCAGAGCTTGGCAAAGGCAAGTCTGGGACAGTTTTCTATATAATTGTAAAGAAATGTGAAGATCAATTGCAAATTTAGAGACTAAGGGCCAGTCCTTCAAGCACTTATATGTATTTTTTAAAATTTTAAATCAATGAGACTACTTCTGTATATCGTTACTTATGTGCATAAATGCCTGCAGTATTGTGCCAATATTGCAGCCTTTTACAATGATCTCAGAAAACCAAAAATGTGCATCAGCAATATTTGAGACATTTCAATTAATTGAAAGATGGTATTTTTATTAGATACATGTATATGCAAAACAGCTCCTTGGACTTTTGATTTTTTGGGTACTGCTAATATTAGCATGGTCTTTATGAAAGCAGGAGGTTATGAGATATGGGGATAAATTGATTACATGGATACAGAATACAGCACATGAGTTGTAGTTGTTTAAAAGAATGGATGTTTTCACAAGAATGAGTTTTGAATGTAAAATGTTTAGGGGGCTGAATTTTTCTCGGAAGCCTTTGTTTCTCACACCTACTCAAAACATTCCTTTTTATTCTGAAGAAATAAAATTGTTTCCAGATATCACAGATATATTCTGTAATTCTTGATATCACATTGAGATTACATTGTTTTCATTCCATTTTGTTTAGATGACAGTGCCTCTGCTGCAAGCAGTATGGAGGTAACAGACCGCATTGCTTCTCTGGAGCAGCGTGTCCAGATGCAGGAAGATGACATCCAGCTGCTCAAGTCTGCTCTGGCTGATGTGGTTAGACGTTTGAATATTACAGAGGAACAGCAGGCCATGCAGAACAAGAAAGGACCTACCAAAGGTTTGCATTTCAAATATATGAACCAAATGTATTTAAAATTAGTCATTTATATATTAAAGTTTATTATTCATGAACAAAAAAATTAAATTTAGAACCAAAATTCATAGCTAACTATATAGAATACATAAAAATCAAAAATATAGCAATCTGTCAGAAGCTCACACAACCTATCAAATCATTTGCATTTTCTTACCATTTTAATTCTCATTTGTATTTTCCCACAATTCCTATTTGCTGCCTTTTATTCAAAATTAGATCAGAAACTCCAAGGAGTGGGTCATCGTCTGTAGACTGAAACCCCTATTTTGTTTTGGTAATACAGATGAGACTAATCAGCCAATAAAGGTGGCTAAGCTGTCTTTGAGTATCTTGTACTAACCTAGCTTGATTTATGTTGTGGAGAATGTCACTTTATACAAAAGTAATACAGTACAAAACTTAAGTTGAGCATCCAGCATTACATAGATAGCTAAGGCTTCACTGATTAGGGGTCCTATAAAGGTAGCCTTCTAGTCAGGCAGTGGCACAGATAGCTACAGCGGCACAGGAGCCAAGCAAACAGAGCTGTAAACAGGGGAGTTTGAGTGGGAGTTTGTAAAGGGAGTTTGGATTGTAGGACTTGTTTGGAGTTTGTTTTTGCTGTGGAGGGGGTGTTTTGGTTTGTTTTTGTGTTCACCGGACTAATAGGATTTTGGTGAGAAAGTAGATAAAACATAGAGGCATTAGTGGCCATGGCCCAAGTAGTAGAGAACACAAGGAGGATGATTGGATGTGGTAGCTGTGGTATGTACATGATTCTGGAGGGGGTACCTGAAAGGAGTTTTGTTTGCATGAAGTGCCGCCTGATAGAGCTGATGGAAGAAAAGATCCGAGGACTGGAGATGCAGGTGGAAACTCTGGTCGAGTTTAGAAGGGGGTTTGAGCAGATGATGGGGCAAAGGCATGACGTGGCTAAAGGGGAAAGCTTAGATATGCAGATGGAAGCAGGATCAAGGGTCTCAGAGGGGGGACTGCTGGGCGAAGAAAATGGACAGTGGAAGCATGTGACTCAGAGGACCAGGCAGAGGAAAAGATGGGTCAGTGAAGGAAAAATAGAGCTCAAGGACAGGTATGTGGAGTTGGAAAAGGAAGAAGGGATACAGCAGGTAGATAATGAAGATGGAAGGGTAAGGAAGAAGAGAAGAGTGGCTAGTCCCATAGATAAAGGGGAAGACTTAATGGAGACAACACCAAAAATTAGCATTAGGAGGCTACAGGATGGGTTAAAGAGGATTAGAAGGGAAAATAGGAATGGCAAGGACTTACAGCCAGAGGAAGCTAGAGATAGACCAGAGAATTTCACTGTCACTAGGAAAAGGCAGGTCTATGTGATTCGGGACTCCTTATTGAGAAGAATAGATAGGCCTGTAACCAGAGCTGATCCAGAAAATAGAAGGGTGTGCTGTCTGCCAGGTGCTAAGATAC